GGGCTTTCCATGTTTTCAAAGCAGGGGCGTACGGCTCGTCATACCCATCGTACGCAATGAAGCTACGGTATGACGAGGGAGGGGTGGACTGATCATCCACCTGTACCTGCTTCAAGGGTTGAGTACGCTGTTCCAATCCTTCTTTTTTGATTCCATGCTGGTTCATGCTACGTCCCCCAAACCTTTTTTCCCCACCGCTGACTTGCCGCGCTTGTGTCAGATTGCAAACATTGTTCAACCATACAGTTCTCGCCGACCTTTTCGCCTTGCCGTTCCCTCACCATTTTCGACCTGGGAATTGAGCTAACTGAAAAGCAATGTCAAATTGTGAACCGCTCAGCCGTCCCACTTGGGTGCTGGGTGTGGTCCCCGTGACAGGGGCGCCGAAGCCATGCAGGAATTTCACTAACAGCCTTTTCGTTTCCACCACTCGTTGGATTCTCTTAACCGACTTCTTTTCACCACTGGATTAACTGCATAAAAAGCCGCCGGGCTTACAGGACATGCCACCACAGCCGCCGGGCTAAAAAACGGAATTCATGTCCACTTGAGGCCAGGCATGGTTTCCCAACCCCCCCCTCCCCGCCGAGTTCTACTCCCTACCTAATTGAGGTAACAGAGGGAAATGGTACTCGGCACACTTGTGTGTCGGTGCCTTTCCCTCTGTTGTCCCTTTTCTAGTCTTCTCTACCCGGGCGGTTTAAGACTAAAGTCCCGCTCCCTAACTATTGCACTTAATTCATTTCTGATCAGTAACTCTAGAGTGCTAAGTATTCAGACACACACACATGTACACACACATGGACATACACCCCCTCCCTGCCCCCCCCCTTTCCTTCTTGCGCTTTTCGTCGTTTGTTGGGCTTTCTCTCAGGCTTTTTAGGTTGCTCTTGAGGCTCGTTTCCCTACCCCAGTCAAGGGCTAAGTATTCACTCTTTTCTACTCCTATTTTTCTCTCTTGCCCTCTTAGCGCTGCTCTTTCTGTGTTTCTTTCTTTTGTTTCTAAGGCTTTTTAGGTACCTATTCAGGTCGTTCGCACGAGCGCCGCAAAGCGGCACCGTGTGTGTGTGTGTCAAACCCTGTCCCTAAGGGCTTTCCATGTTTTCAAAGCAGGGGCGTACGGCTCGTCATACCCACCATACGCAATGAAGCTACCCTGTATCTAGGGCCTGTCCATTCAATTTCCTTCCGAGCTTCAACTCTGTGTTTCTTCACACCACTTCATTACACAGCGGGGGCTCCCGGGTCTGTTCCTGGCATGAGCCAACGAAGCTCCAGGTTCAGACTAGGATATCGAGAGGGGACGCTCTCTCGACGTACCTGCGAGAAGATCGTTGATGCACAAACAGTTACCTGTTGTTCACGGTCCTTTTCAAGGTTTGTTTTTCAGGTATGAGGTCGGCTTGCACTAATCGGGGAATGCACTCACAATTCCTAAAGAGTTAATGCGTCTTTGGAAGTACCTTGAATTATGCTCTTGCCAGCTCTTTCTCTCAAGTGTGTGTCTGTGTGCGCCTTGGAATCAAAGGCTGTTCAAATGAACACGATTAAAAGGACCTGCCCACGAAGCCCCGCCTGGAACCAGCTCCTGGGATATTCAAACCCTGTCAAATGGGACACAAAGAAAAATGTCCCAGATGTACTTCCTGAACTCAGAACAACACACAAAGTGCATCGGAGAAACCTTCGACGACCTTCCAAGAGAAAGAACTTGTTGACTTCCCAGCAGTATGTCTTCTTCTTTGGGATCAATCAGTCTCATGGCTTGGGCCCCTTGGTCTACCTCTGAGGTATTTCAACATCACTGGCATACCGTTGTTGGGCTCAAAAAATGTATTATATACATAAATACGGAGAAAGACATGCTACAGTCGCCCACAGTCCTCAGGTGCGGAGGAGTCCGCTTTCTGCTCTTCCTTGGAATCTGAAAGAAGTAGAATAGAGAACAAATGACGTCACACACCCCGGAGACTTTGGATGCCAATTAGCACATTATTGCAGGCAAATCAACTTTGTATATTTGTCGCAACTACAATCGCATGAGACCGGATGCAACTAAAATAACTAACAAATGCCCACAAGCACGCAATGTGTGAAAGGTGGAAAAGACTGTGGCACGTGGGTCAGACATGCATCTTCATGTGCCTTGTAAACCAAAATGTCAAGAGACAATGACGTAGCAAGTTAGCAGTCCTTCAAACATTGAAACTGTCTTGCGTGAAGTCACAAAGTTTTGCAACTGCACAATGTGGCACGATAGTAGATGAATCCAGCCCAAGGAGAGCTGGTCTTCTGAAACAAGTCTGATGACCAAGCTCGTTGATGATGAAGGAACTCAAGAATTTGTGCGTCTTTGCAACATTTACAAAATGTGCATGTCCATGTGAATGAAACCTTTACAAAACCTTCCCTGTTCATAATAAGCTCCGAATGATGCCACATCCGAATCAAAGCCATGCCACCACAAGACCATAACCGTCGTGACTTGCCAGGGCTGCTGCCTCGGCTTGAACTCAGTCACAGTATTGAGAAAGGTAGTCAGGTAGTATGATCTGTGCAACTGTGAAACGGACGCTTGCACTGCACCCACCTTAGCGCCTTGATTTTGAACTTGTGAATCCTCCGAGGACCGTGCCAGGATTTGGCAGAACTCCTCATCCGCACCCTGCGAGGCTGAGTGGTCTGAGTATCTATTTCGGGGGGCCACATTGAAAACTATGCAAAACACAAAAATCATTGAAATGGCAGGAGATCAACCCATGACATCCCGCTCCTTTCCTCATGATTCTGTCATGAAACAAACTTCCAAAGCACGTCCATCTACAAACCATCATCCTTTGACCTGCAAACCCCTCTCAGTGATTATCTTTCAGGGATGCTGGAAATGCTACTTCTTTATCATGCATTACCAGCATCACTGACCTTTCCGATCACCCCACTCAACGTTCCCTCTTGGCAATTCAATTGGTCTTCCTTCAAAAACGGATAGCCTCTCCCACACATCGCTCGCACACCTCGGGCTCTCGTCCACAGCCTACCAAGGCTAAGCTGACTAAGAGCAGTGAAGGCAGTGAAGGTGACCCTCCTTCGGTGTAAACAATGGGAGACTGCAGACTACTGCGGACAGTTGCAACACAAACTTCGCAGCTCTGGAGCTAGACGGCTACCCGACAAAAATACATACAGTACTGTACAAGAAACTTCCTTATGTGCAAAGGTCTCCGCTCTATCAGGTCCTAGGTTGCAGCAAACCTACAAAATATCCGGATTAGAACCAATGGAGACAATGCTACTGTACTACCTTGAGATGATGTGTACCACTCTGAAATGTCAAAGTCCTGTCCACCCATCTGAGCTGCAGAACCGTGAAATCGGTTCATTCCTCAGACCCGCCCAGTCGGAGCCTTCAGGTATGGCTAGACTCTGTGCCAAGACAGGCTGCGGACGAGTGCTGCCAAGACTGCCTCAAGGCAAAAGGCCCGACTCAGGGTGTCCACATGCCACCAGCGCACTTTCTTTTCACGTCTTTTCATCTGACCAGAATAGACTATGAAAGCATATGAAAGCATTGATCTTGATTTTCCAGGCAAAACACCAAGTAAGACACACTTCGCGTGATTGTCAATGTTCATTAAGTAGATGCCTGGTAACTTCACGAAAAATCTCACAAATGCCTCTTAAACCTGGTACTACTACAGATCATATTCAAAGGATAAAAATGAGGGGAGAAAAGGAGCAAGGGGTGTGCACAGGCTAGGACACAGGTGGTGTGAAGTTTCCTTGGCAAGAGCGCTTAGTTGCACCTGCTGATGAGAAGTAGGAGCATACAAGAATCCTGTTACATCTTGTTCATCTTAGATGTTGCTACCACCACGAAAGTGTGATGTGCTCCAGCCACCACGACAGTAGACTGCCTGTGTGTTCCACCAGAGGGGCAAGTGGCGCCAAACGCTTTTCACTGGCGCTCCGTCCCTGCGGAAGTCTGGTTCTGAGGGTCGGAAAAGGCGAGTTGGAACAGGACTTGATGTCAACCACTTGACTTACCGTCAGCTGTCCACCTAAGATCTTTTGGCCCATGATGTGACATCAGTCCACATGTTGCTCCATCAGTCCACTTCTTCAGAACCTCTGCCCTCGTGCCATGCTGCCACACCTGCGTCTTCAAACCTGGTCGCTCCTTGGTCCAGGACATGAGGTTACCCATTCAGAAGAAAAGGCCGTTCTTTTCATTGATGCCAGCAATCATCACTTGTGGCCGGAAGGCTTCGGAAGTTCCACCTGAGAAGCCTGCAATCTCAATCTGCGGAACCCAGGGCATTGACCTTGGAAACACCGGATGTGTCTGGAGTCGAACACATGCGTGTGTTTTTACATAGGGAGACCTCCAAAGACCCCCTGGAAGAGGGAGAATAGACCGTTCCATGTACAATTTAAAGGCTGTGTGGAGGCTCTCTGATTGAGAGTTTCTACGGGTTTGTGTGTAAATGTCCTTACATCCCTTTCGTATTGCTTTTTGTATAATATATATATATATGTATACATATATATATATATGTATATTTCTGTAGAGGTTGCTTTTTGATTTGCATGTTGCTGAGGATCGAAGGTTGTGTCTATCTGACGCATAGCCGAGGGTAGCCATTGCATGTTCACACGTGCAAGAAGCGACAAAGGCCAAAAGACCGATTGGTTGGGAGTCTCCCAACGAAAATACACACCCATGTCTAGTTGATATTGAGCTCCTAGCCCGTTGAGAGGTGTCAGGAACGAGCCTCCAGGTGCCTCAGAGTATGCGCAGCAAAAAGAATTCGTTAAGCGGAAGTTCATGTCACGACCTATGTGTTTCAAGGTTCCACGTTTCACTTTAGATTCCAAGCGGACCGTTTCCTCTGCTTTTGGTGCGAATCGCAAAGAAACGGCCACACAGACTCCTTGGACGCCACTTCTGCAGGGAGCAGGTGGCCAGCCTCTTGCCACAGTCTTGGACTGCACCAAATGCCTCAGACCTCTCCTGGCAGTTGGAACTTCTCCTCCAGGCGCTTCCGCACTTTGCGAAAGTCCTCGTGAGGCAACTCACCCCTGGGGCAAATTTGACGGGACTCCATTGCCAGCAAAATCTGGGTAAAATGAACCATGGACGCCATCTAGCAGGCTATGTAAATCTCTGGACTCGGCAGTCTAGCAATGCAAACATTTAAGTATCTCAATGCAAACATTGTGTGTGTATGATATCTTCGCTACAAGCAACGCTCGCCCGGTTGCCAAAGCAAGTCAAGCCATTTATCTCACGCCTGTCTCAAAAGTATTCCAAGCTAGAAACCAAACATAACATAATACATCATAATACTAGATTTTTTTGAAACGACTTGTGGGTTGTTTGTTGTTTATTGTTGTGCAGTCCAAGTCAAAACTCCATGGAAGCATTTTCGGCGTCCTTCAGAGGCATCACCTCGGCATAGTCCAGAAAGCATCGTTTGCGTAGCAGTGTGTTGTATTCAAGAGAGTTCCCCTGTGCAAAAAAATATATGGAAACAGTTTTTTGCAGCAAATTGGAACATAAAACATGTTTGTATGGAAAGCACGTTGTAAGAACATGGAACACCTTTGTCTTTCAAGACTTATCCTCAGACCCAACACTTGCCGCACTGGCCTTGTCCAGTGTGCTGCGTGCTGGTGCTGGTGTGGATGAGCGGCATCCATTTTCCTCCTCAAGACAACACAAGTCAAAACACAACAAAAGTCAACACGGAGATTCGAAGCTGTTGCATTTGGCAGGTGCTGCTGTTGTTACAGGTCTCTACTGGCGTCATGAATCAAGAGGTTCAGCCACCCGTCAAGCATGTAAACAAAGAGATTTAAAGAACAATGTAAAATATAAAACACATGAAACAAATTGTGCTATATAATCAGATTATATACTATATTTGTTTCTAAAACAAATATAGTATATAATCTGATTATATAGCAAAATAACCAAAGCAAGTGGAAAAAAGGGAGGTGAGAGCCTCTGTAACAAGGCCCTTGAAGTTCGTGTCTTCTCATGACACGCAACAAAAGCCAAAGCAGCCAGTTCCCATGGTCTTTCAACCGGCCTTTTTGGCACCAGGGATGCAAATGTGATTTTCCTCCCACGCCAGTTCCACATCCACATTCTGAAGGTACCAGTCCTTAAGTTCTCATCGCCCCATCAGAGCTACAGCTCCACTTCCGAGCTCAACAGGAGTTCAAGTTCCGAAGCAGCCCCTTTCAAAACCCCAGAAAAAAATACAAAAGCTTGGCATCAAGTTCTGCCTACACACTTTGCAAGTTCACCAACAAGTGTCGTCTTCGCTAAGCAGCGCTGTTTGGACAATCGGGAAATTGTTCAATGTGCCAGGCAAGTTTGCCAACATGGCAATACGTCGGCACAGTACATGTCGTGCGTCCACATATGTGCAAGCACCAAACCGCCAAGCAAGAACTAGCAAGCCTGCTCCGAATCCCACTCTGGAGCCTGCCAGCAAGTCAGCGCGACAGCCTGACCCGACTGAAGCATCTCAGCGTGACAACATGATAGCACGTTAGCGTGACCCATGCCAGCATGCCAGCCTGACACCATGTCAGCGTGCCACCACACAAGCCCATCAGCGTGGCAACACAAAACAGTATGGCAACACCTCTGCAAAGTCATCCGGAACTTGCTCCGAAACTTCCACCAGAACCTCGTGTGCAACCTCTTGCTCCTCAGAACCTCCTCCAAACCTGCTCTGGAACCTGCTCCGAAAAAACGTGCTCCAGAACCTGCTCCTCCGGACCTGCTCTGGAACCTGCTCCGGAACTTGCTCCAGAACCTGCTCCGATTTTTACTATGGCTGAAGACCCCTAAGCTTCGCTTTGAGGGGAAAAGAGTCGACTTGCAATGACAAGCATCCATATCTTGGCACTTCAGCCTCTCTCGGGATTCCTGCATCTGCTGTAACTCACCTGCTGGCATATTTCGAGCTTCAGGCTTCACCTCGCAAATGTTGACTTCAGATTCACATGCAATGGCCACAGCATGAGAATGCAAATGCATGTGCGCTTTGGGCTCCCTGAAACGAGGTTCAATCCCTTCCAGTTGAGCGCGTCAGACGGTCTCCACTGCCTTATAGAAGGACTCCTTGTGCCCATCAAGCCACACTTCAGCCAACCTGAGGTGTGACGTCAAGTTTGGATTGACGTCAAGCACGCAAGTCTGCTTGCCCCAGTCTGCTTGCAAGTGGCCGCTTGTAGTTTCTGACCTTTGAGAGAATCAAGGTGCACACAACATAAGCGCTTGAGTGGTGTATCTCACAAAGCTTGAACGTTAAAGTTTCAGCATCAGAAGAGATGCGAACGACTCTCAAAGCAAAACACAGTTTGGCTTTCAGAAAGGGCGCAACCAGACACTTAAAGTAACTATATGCGTGTTTGGTACCTCCCGATTCGAGAATTAGCAGGAAGCATCTTGGCTTTTAGGCTTTTGACTCTTTTGACCCCTTGATTGAAGGTTGCACTTTCGGCCTTTACCTTCTTTGACTTTCAAACAGAGAGCCTCAAAATGACATAACGACTGCTGCATAAGCAGCCGCAGCTGAGCCAAGCGCAACATCCGGAACTTGCACCGAATATGGCCTTTCCTGACGGACAATGCCGTAGCAAAACGATTTGATAGGATAGACATGGTTGAGCTATAGGGGTCATAATCTTTTCCCATCGCACTGCATCCCAGAAATGATATCAAAAGCTATAAGAGTACTCCACTTTGTTGTGTGTCCCAGCTCGGGCGCATCCTGCCTCCTCCGACCTGAACCAATGCCCGACACGCGAGCAAGGATGAATCTCGATGCGACCACCGCAACGCCAGACTTTGTGGCTCGCCTGCGAGGAGCATTTGGCCTCTTCTGCATCATGAGCCTCCTCTGAAAGGGTGGTGCATACAAAGTAGTTGTCGAGTCCCCAAAAAACACACCAGGACCTTTCCTGTATTCACTGACACATGACACAAGGTAAAGACAAGCCAAAATCAAGGTCCAGGAACCAAGCGACAGTTCCATGACCCATCAACGATGATCAAAACCTGAATCTCACATCCCCTACTGCAAAAGAGCATCTGGGTTCGGTCACACCTGTCAGTATTTCACCCATCCAACACATCTTGCATGGATCGATAGGCTAGCAGGCCAAGTAAGACTGCATGGCCAGTAAGACTGCATGGCCAGTTGCTCCAGAATACACTGTGATGTTTAGCATCCTGGAGACTGTTGACACACTCGACCTCCTTCCCCTCCATTTCACCTCGACGTGGTCACCACCCCAGCGAATCATCTTGGGATCAAAGAACCTCAGCGGAAGTGCTGCAGCGGCGGCGCACCGCACCAACTAATCTCCCATGCGTTCAACACCAGCCAAGTTTGGGAGTCCTCTCTTGGTTCTCAGCTTGGGTAGAGGACTCCGATTCCGATCCTTTTCTTTGCATGAAGCTCACGAACTAGAAGGCACCCAGTCATCCCATGTGGAGGGCTCTGGACGAAGAAGGCAAAGCCCAGGCAAAGCCAGTTTTGACATGTTTCCCTGACTGAGAGACAAGCTCGAGGTGATCCCACCATTCCTGAAAATGAGCTGGACATGGCAAGATACACATGGCGCATAGTGGGCATGTCGAAGCTCTACCCTTGTAACATTATTATTGCTTGGCAGTAAGGAAATCCACACGTAGCGAGCCCGTCATGATCCCGTACTACTTTCACGACCCACCTGAGCTCAAAGTGCCCAGAAGGATCAAAACCAAAATCTTCTCGCCTTGGAAAATCTTGAAACTAGTAAGTTGGAGGCCATCGCTAGTAGGCTGGAAAATCTTGACGCCCTATCGACCCAACAAGGTGCCAAACAGCCCACAGCCCTGTGCCTTCCGTATGGCGTAAATGCCACCCGACGTTGCAGGCGATGGATACGGCTCTGAAGTTGTGGGCTCTTGACGCCACGGGTTGTAGGCCTCGGTGCACCCTGCAAATCTTTGCAGGCATTTTGTGTGTGTGTGTGCGTCTGAAAGATGATCATGATGATCATCTGAAGATATATGTTCTGCTAATGTTTTACTCCTCAACTTGAAATAGGTGCAATGACTCCAGGAACAGGGAGCACCAAACACAGATCCTCGACATCTGGGCGTTAATCGTGGCTAAATGGCCAAAACCTCTAGAACTTTGCGATTCTAAGTGGCAGATTGTCTTTTCCCGCTTTATCTGCTTTACGCAGGAAGACCAATTCAGACCTGCACTCGTAGCATAGATCGTGTCCCTTCCTTCACTGGTTCAGTGGCAGGGGGCAATGAGGTTCAAGTTCCATTCAAAGCGCCAGTAGATAAAGGGCATCCGCTGATACGTCGTCATGTCCTCCAAAAGGGCTTCCAGATTAAACAAACAAAAGCCTTGACTAAAGATTGGCCAAAGTGTTTGTGCAATCTGAACTTGCAAACTTCTGGTGCATCAAACCAAAAATGATCAAAGGCAAACTAAATGGAAAAACAAAGGTATTGTAAGGAAAGATTGGGATGTCAGGGAGTCCCGTCATGTCACGTGATGTCCTTGTCCAAGAGGTCAAGGCTGGGCATCACCAAAGCTCTTGGCTCTTGCTCCAAGCGTTGCAGCAGGGGCTCCAGCCACTGAGGTGTGACCACCACGTGAGGTTCCAGGAACATCAAGACCTGAACTGAACTCAGCGTTCGGTGTTTTCGATGAATTGTGAAGCTCCAAAACCTGAACTCAGCTTGAACATGTTCATTTCATGACCGTGAGAACATCTCCACAACACAACCAGTTGCCTCGATTGCTTTTCCAGGAAGCAACTGTGGTCATGTGGCGCTGAGGCCACAACTGCACCCTTTGCACGAGCCGCGGCCTCCATCTTTGTCACGATGAGCCCTTTGTTCTCCTATCAATTCATGGGTGCGTATTGAAATCAGAGGAATGTCCACTAGGACCTCGGGCACAAAAAATACAATACGAAAAGAAACTGCCTATGGGGCATCTCGCCACCCCTCATCGATCTTGGGCATGCAAGACTCTACGTTTGAACCCAGTTGTCCCACCCTCCCAAAAGCCATGCACCATGGTGCCCATATTTCATTGGGCACGTCGAGCTTTCCAAGAGCACTATATATACTATATATATATACAATAGCTGCCTTCACTCAACATACCTCGCGATGTGTCAATCATTTTCCAAAGTCAAGGTCCTTGTTGATGATGACCTGCACTTTGGGGTGCATTGCCTTGAGCTCTTTCTCAAAAATAGAAGCCTCTTCGTTGCCATCAGAAACGCAAATGATCTCCTGCCACACGCAACCGAGCGTGATTCTGCAGGCCATGGTTCCCCGCAAGCACAGCCAACGGGACGACATGATATGATCAGCTCCTTCAGCAAATTGAGGTTGCTATGCCGCAAAATGCTGCGCAAAGTCATCCGTATCCGAAACCACTCCTCATGGTAATAGGGGATGATGATCCTCGGCGACTCGGCGAAATTGCAATGTCTTGCCTTCTAGATTGGCGAAACTTTTGATCTAAAAGCTAAATGTGCTTCTTCGCAAACGTCCATTACAACATACGATCTTTCATGGGAAACTCCCATGCCATTGGACGAAACAGATTGGCATTGCAACCTTGACTTTGACATGCTACGGCTGCTACGGTGAATTCAAGACGCACCAAACATGTGCTCAACATGGCCTGTGGTGCAACGATCACCCCCGTTCTCAAGCTGCAACCAGGTCTCGACACCTGAGTTCTCAAAAAACAAAAAAAGCTGTTCAGTTTCCGCTATCTATGTATATAGGTTGTTCCTTTTTGTGAAACCCACTTGCCTGAGCACCAAGACCCTGCGTGCTCAACAAGAATTCAAGGGATCAGTGGTCGGAACCATCAATGCTTTCGTCAAACCTTGCATGAACCTGTGCTTACTGTGTTGATTCACAGCAAAGCTGGGTGGTTCTTGGCCTTCTGAAGACAAACCATGACTTCTGTGATCACCTGCCGATGCTTCTAAAATGAGGCCCCGACAGCATGGTCAAAGCCTTGGCAATCCATTCCATGGATATCCATGGATCTATAAACAAAAGAATTCTTGGAACTTCTCCAAAAGGCGCTTTGAAGAGAGATGAAGAGTCTTGTCGACTTGCGGCACAAGAACCTCCCGGTGGTCGAATGGCTCACCGTGCCACAACCGGGGAATAGCCGAGACTCCAGTCACAGAGGGCTTGGTCGGACATGTTCTCTGCCAAAGCTGATTGGGTAAGCTGGGTAGAAAGCCATCATCATTGGCCTAAGATGTCGCTGCAAGAAGGAATATGTGAAAACTGGAACTGGATCTGTCTGCTTTGCTGCCCGATGCGTCTCTTGACCTACACTTGGTCTCCTCACAGTGCTGACCACACGCTGCTATTGCGCAGGTCACTCGCAACATGCACCATGTGTCCCAGCTGCTCGTGCCCCGGCCTGTGGTGTGGGATAGAACACCATCGCCAACAACGGAGGCAACAGCACGGCCAGAGCAGCAAAGACCATTCCTGACGAAGTTTCGTCCAAAGAACCCTCTGAAGTAGCCCGGTACACGGCTCATTTTGGAACCTAGAAACGGCTCATTTTGGAACCTGGCTCATTTTGGAACCCAGACGAAAAGAAAACTCACCGGGACTGCAGCGTGAGACCAATTTCGCGGCTCATTTTGGAACCTGCATCATTCGGTAGTGCTTCGAAGGTAGTATTTGCTAGTGAAAATGAGTGTTTCGTACGAGACTTCCTCCAAAAGTGAGCCGCGGAAGTCTCCAGAACGAGCGTTTTGTACGAGAC